GTTTCCATTGAAATCACTGAAGGAAATTATTTTGGTTTGTTCTGCAAGAATAGAATTTATTTTACCTCTGTTTAGAAGACCTAGAATTTCCACCTGTTGTAGGGAGATCCATGTCAAGAACCCTTAATTTTTGTCAATCCCTAGGCACCTTTACATGGTGCTTATTATGGAATACGATGGAACTTTTCTCACTTGATGGTTTGCATCACCATTATGAGAGGGAGGAGGAGAAACTGGAACATATCAAATGTTTTCAGTGACATGTATGTGCAGAGAGATTGTTTCTGGGAAGCTTTGGTCAAATCTTTTTATCATGATCATTGTCATCAAATCAGAGATAGAAAGGACCTTAGAAGCAATTCAGTCCAGACTTGTCATTTTACGAATGAGGAAACTAATTATCAGGGTTAACAACTAGTTAGTGGCAGAGCCAAAAATGAAGCATAATCAACTGATCTTGAGCCAAATGCTTTTTTCTGTTATTCCATACTGCCTCATTTAAAGCTGAGTATTAAGTTATTCTACTAGTTCTTATAGCACAATAGTAAGTAGAAAGGGCAAAACAATAACCAAGTAATAGTTAGGCTTATTAGATCATCCATTACCTGTCATTGGTGCTTTTTATAGAATTAGAGAAGAAAGGAAGTATTATATTACTAGCATTTAGTATTTTTAAAACAATAGCTTCTAAGTCTTGCTTTCTAAGGTATAAACCTTGAAGAATATTATTTAGTGTTTACATTTATCTTTTGCAATATATCCTTTTGGTGACTTTGTGAGTGCACAGATCTTTGATTTTGTAGTTCAGATGATTAGATATGAGAAATTATGCTTACCATCTATGATTATGCTCATGTATAATTATGTGTCACCTAGGTATTTTTCTCATTAACAATGGCATCATCAATAACTTAAGGATTTATCAAGTTTTAAAATTTTTCAGTAACTGTGAGTTTATTTTGTTTCAGTTCAGAAAAACTCCATATTTTCATTGACAGCATAAACTGTCTGAAATATATTCTTTTATGAAATCATTTCTTTTGCATCCTTTTAGACATTTGTCCATGTATCCAAAAATGAACTTAAAATTTTTCTTTTATTTATATGGAAAAGAGTAAGGAGATCTGATTATATGTCTAACATTGAAATATGGAGCTAGATACCAGTATTATAATGTAAAGTATAATGAGTTTATTTAATATTTACTTCTAATCTTAAATTTCAGTGGAATAATAAATCTCTGCAGAAAGAACTTTGGTCTAAATGATGGCTTTGATGCCACCTTTGAAGTATTAAAGAATACAGGATTTTAGCCCCTTTCGTAACCACATGGAACCTCTCTAAAAATAAAAAAAGAAAAAACAATACCCAC